AATTTTCTTTGCTAATGTGTTTGCAGATCTGAAAAATGATGTCACAAAGTAAGCCAGATTTTAATTTCTTTAGTGACAGATCTATAATTACTCTTTTGAAAATGGTATAAATTTGCCTTTGTAATTGATTGGATGCACTTAACTTAAATAGTTAATATTTAATCCAAAAACTAACTAAAGCAAATATTCGTTCTCATTTGTTTTCATCAGGCGGTCAGAAAATTAATTATTTTGTACTTCTTTGCTGCTAAAACAAACTAATTTTGGTGTTTTTAAGTTATCTAGTTTACAGTCAAAGTAGTTTACAATCAAACCTGTATAAATTAGAATTAAAACAGTGGCCAGGTGAACTTAATTATGCAAATTAGAAGATTTTATCCCAGTATCTAATAGCATAGTTCAAAGTAGACTACAAGTATTTAGGTTAACACCATCTAAATTTTGTTATAGTAAATATAGTATTTTCGATTTCTATTCACATTAATACGTGAGGTTTAGGCTAAATCACATTTTTAATCTACATTGTCTTTGGTACAATAATGTATATGGAATTAATATCAACAATCAATAAAATAAAAACCTAAGTAAATAAAAATTTCAAATAAAAAGCAAATCTGCTTTTGTCTAATTTTGATTTGAGATTTAATTTAAAACTGATAAGATAAATCACAGTTTAAGAGTTCACCATTTCAGTTTACTAAGCTACAAGAAAGTTAAATTGTTATATGGCTTTTTTTTATGCACCAAAAAACAATTTGATGAAATTATTTATAAATTATGATTCTTTTCAAAGTAAAGCAGTAATTATTTTTATTAGTACTATTATTATTTGTAGTTTTCCTCAAGCAGAGATAAATACCTTTGTAAAGAAATTTTTATTTTTAAATTAACTTGTGTTTGCCTTGACCAGATCTCAATTTGTGTGTTTTAAATAAAAGTTTTGAATCTGATCACAATCCATTATTTGCAAAAGATAGCACAAGTACATCATAGTTCAGATAAATTATTCTCAATAAATTTGTATGATAGTTTAAAATTTATTAATTTCATTTTTTTTAGCAATTAAGACAAAAGGTTTTTTTATTGGATAAGGTTAGTTTATTAATTTATGGACCATGAATTAATTTGGATATAAATTCTCATCCAACTTGAGTTTATAGAGGATGCAAAACAAAATCATACTTTTGAACAGAATTGTAAGGCCTTCAGTAAAGCTGTAGCTTTACTGATAGCCTAACTAGATGATTTGTTTTTTGAATGATTGTTGTCAAAATAAAAAGTTAAGTAGAATGAAACAAGAAGATCTGCTCTTGTGGTATATGCTCCGTCGAACAAGGATAAATACATCCATTTTTTTATTGTTTTAATTTTCTATAAAAGCTTTGATCTTCAAAAAAATAATTAATTTTAATTATTTTTTTGAAGATCAAAGCTTTTATAGAAAATACTATTATTTTAAAATTAGTGAATTTTTTATACTTTTTAAGCAAAAAAAAATTTTTTCTCAATCTCTTGTTTGTCACGTGTTTAACAAAAAAAAAAACGTCTCTAAGCAAAAAGAAAATTAAGCAAATAAAAGTTTTTTTGTGGAACATATGGTTTATAACTGAAATAATATAAGTTTATATAATATTATGTTTATATAATATAATAATATAATATAAAATTTATATATATAAACGTAACAAGACAAATGTCTTGTTACATTTTTATAATGAGAAATTTTGTATGAAATTAGTTATATTATTTAATTTTTATTCGGTTTATTGTTTATTTATATGTATACTGATATTAATTTACAAACTAATATATACTAATATGTATACTAATATTAATTAACACATTACAAATTCTGTTTAAAAAACATGCGTTTCACTATTTTTTTTTTTTTTTTTTGTGGTTTTTTCATCTGGTTTATTATTACGTTATATTTAGATTACGCTAAGTTTAAATTACGTTTATAACGTCAGAAAAAATAACAGTAACTAAATTTTTTTTTATTACTTTTATTTTTCGTTTTATTTATTTCACATCATTATACTTAATAGAATTAATAGTTTATTTTCTGTATAAAATAATGTATAATTTATTATTCGACGTGTTATCAAGCTTAAAAGGTGATCTAAACGTTTTTTTTTTTTGTGAACTCACAAATACTATCATTTTAAACGGTTGCGATAGTTACGATATAATTCTATAAAACTAAGCGGTTGATTTAAATTTTTTGTTCGAATTTGTAAAAAGATTTTTATAAAGTTCGATCATCGAGTTTTATGTATATAAAACCAAACGTTTTGTTTTTTTTGGAAAAAGTACGAAATTATTCTGTTACCATTGTTTATTAAACTTCACACTGGTCACAAATACTTTTAAAAATTCGTGGCGGACCTGTACACGGCGCACCCTAAACTCGGTGAAGTTCGTTAATTCTCGGAACGAATATTCTCGGTGTTCGCTTTTGGTATTTTACAGAATCGACGCTAAAATATTACGTTAAATCGCGCCATAATGGTAACGTCGAAAATAAAACACAAAAACTTTGCGTAAATGCATTTTAATAAAAATTTAACATTTTAGAAAAAAAAAATAATAATTACAAATTATCAACATATATACATTAAATATTAGATTAAATAGATCTTCTAGAGGTATCTTCTCTTCTTAAGATTTCTTTTTGTAGCTTATCTTTTATTAATCGATCTTCTAAAGGTAGATACCTTTATTTCTTTACATATCTTATTGTGGCTAATCTTCTTTTAATCGATCTTCTACAGTTATCTTCTTGTAGCTTATCTTCTTTGCATATCTTTTTGTGGCTTATCTTCTTTTAGTTTTTGCAACGTACATTTTGTGTTGTACTTAAAAAAAAAAAACAAGTTCAATATAAATATTATGAAACATTTTTAATGTAAATATTATATTGTAATACTTATTTTACATTACAGAGGATAGCTATCATTATTATGTTTTAAGAATAAAGAGAAATTTTTACAAACATTTTTATTATAAAAATCATAATATTCTCTGTATACAGCTTGATCTAGCCTAGACCACTTTAAATCACCCTGTGATCCAAAAACAAACTTTAACCTTCGTTTCATCCGACACCAAAACGACTCAACATGATTTGTTGTTGCTTCACTGAATTAAGGTTTATTCGTTTACACCTACTACCTCAGATGCAGCGGTTACAGGAACCTCCAGGATCCATAAAAACATTAATTGAAGTATCAGACTGACACTTAAAGATGTAGAGCTTACAAAAAATCCAAATTCTTTGATACTTTCAATGAACTCAGCTAAAGGTGTCATCTTACTTATTTTAAAGGCGGTAAAAAGTTAGCTATTGAAGCGCGAATTAAAACTTTTGTGCTAAATTTTCATTCGTTAATATTAGCCAATCATTAAACGGCAAAAATATTGTTTCGAACTTTACCGAGTTCGTTTACGAACTTCACCGAGTTTAGGGTGCGCCGAGTACAGGTCCGCCAAATTCGTAAGTAAGTATTCTTCAGTTTTATATTCGTTTATTTGTTTTTATTAAAAAAGTTTATGTTTTAAAACAAAATTTATATTGTTACATAACCTTAACTTACGACGACTGTTTTTCGTGTAAATTTGATGATAATAAGTATTTTTTTATTGTTGATATATTAGTTAAATTATATTATAAATATACAAGATTAAGGTGCTAAAATGTGTAAACCTTTAAATTTAATGTAACATTTTTTATAATATTTTGATTTCTATCTTTAAGCTTATTTTTTTAAATATAATAGAGCAAATAGATACGTGTTTTTATAATGTTCAAACTTTTTTTATATTTAATCTCTTGGAAATGCGATAATTGAGTTTGAAAGAGTGAGTTTTTTTTTATGGAAAGGTAAATCGAAAATAGATTTAGAATATTATAAATTAAGATTTAGAAAATATGTTAAAAAATAAATCAAATTGCCTTCAAAATGTTAGTGGTGCAAAAAAAAAAATGCATATTTATAAACCTTGAAAAAAATTCTTTTATGAAGTATAAGGCAAGACCTTCGTCACAAAAACTCTACGCTACAAAAAATATATTTTCATCGCGTAGAATTTATTGATTTACAAATTTTTTACTTTAAAAAATGTTTGGCATGCTTTAGTATGCAAAAAAACTAGTACAGTATGATAATGGTATGTAAGTACCTATGCCATACTAATTTTAAAACATACTGAGCTATTATTTAATTGCATTTTTACCCGTTTATTTTTAATCGTTCGTCTAAGTTTGATATTTTAGAAAAAACCTGTTTCTTTTGCTAAAAGTTTCAGAGAAATATGATTTACATGAAACAATTGTGAATGAGGAATTATTTTCTTGTTTGCGTTGAAATGATTGTTTCATGGATTTAATTTTTACTTTTTAAAACAAAATGTCGTTTGATGTGATGTTATTGTAATTTTTAAATTCAATCGGTTTATCTTATGTTTGTTGCTTGTTTTTATATATTATATATATTACATTTTGTAGCTTTAATGATGAAATTATGTTGATTTTGATGTGTAAATGTCTCATGATTATGAATCTTTTATGTGTGTGAACAACCGTTCTAATTTTTGTTATGTTATTTTAAATATGCTTAATTTATAACTTGTATTTAAATTTTTTTGTTTTAGAAATATGATGAATTAACAAAATTAAAAAATTGTCTTTTTTATTATATTTTATATTACATTTTTATATATATTTATTTTTCATATGAATTATTTTATCTAAAGGTTTCACACTTTTATTATTTTTTTATATCATTTTAATTTAATATAAATTTATGTATATAATATTATTGTATAAAATATAGTCTATTTAATAAAAATAAAAAATTGTATGTTTTTTATTCAATCATTAGTTAATAAAAATTATATGTATAAATATGTAAAATATTATAATGTATATAATGTTATAGTTTTGATTATTATTTTTATTATTTGTTCATTTTTATAATTAATATTTAATGTTACTTTAGATCGTCTAAGTAAAAGTGATAAAAGAAAAGATTACCATGATTTATTCATTGAATGTTTTTATGAAAGTCAATCATCATTTAATGATGAAATTAAATCAATTGTTGATGAACGAGGAGAGTGGTTGATTTCGATTTACGATGGAAAAACTTCTTACGAAACTTCTTGCGAAAATTATTTCATAAATCATTACGTAAAATCTGGAAGAAAGTTATCGAGCTTATAATAAAATATAATCGAGCTAAATAAAATATAATCGAGCTGTTAATAAAATTATTTTAAGTGATGAAGAAGAAAAACTTTTAATACAATGTTCAACTAATGTTCGCAATGTCAGCTTATATCGTCCAATTAATATCGAAGGATGGAAACCGAAAGATAAGATTGAAGTGTTGTTCATCTCAGACTATTTATTATATTATTTAATAACAAAAAAAGATTTTGAAGAAAATTTTCTTCCGTGGATTAATCTTTGTGAAAAATTAAATCTTTTACTTCACGATTTTATTAATGAATTTTATGAATGGATTCGTTGTTCGAATGTCAAGAAGTTTTGTATCGTGTACCGTGGAGAATATTTTTATAACCTCGATGAATTAAAAAACTTCACAACACGATAAAATATTTAATACCTTAAATATATTAGATTAAAACAATAATTATAAATAACTAATGAAATATTTAATGTTTTATTTTATAATAAATACGTTTTTAAATATACAAATTAATTTTACAAGTTTATTAGATTTAATATTTAAAAGTTTAATTTTTTATTATTAAAATATTTTATAAATAATTCGTTTTCAAATATATTAATAGTTATAATTATGATATAAATTATTAAATATATTATTATAATATATAAATTTTCATATATATTATTATTAATAATAATATTATACTTGTAAAATTATAAATTACGTTACATGATTTATTGTTGTTTTTTTTAAATATTATATTTTCAGTTTTTAATTATTATGTTCTTAATATATAATTTTTTAAATAATATTGTTAATAAATATTTGTTTTAATAAATAATAAATCTTTGTTTAATATTTTATTTATATTAATTATTTTATGTTTTGTGAAAGAATGAAATTAAAAATTCTAAATATGCAAATTAAAATAAAATGTTAAATTTTTTTATTTTATTATCAATTTCTTTTCAAATAATATCGTATTTAAGATAAAGTCATAAGTTTTTAAGTTGATTGAATTTTGAATAAAACAACTTTTTTTATTAGATTTGCACTTTTTATACACCTTTTACACAAATTAATGTTTACAAAAAAATAACTTTTCAAGGTTTTCGCCATTGTTTCTTGAAGAGATCAACAAAATAAAAAAATTCGTCGTCATCAAAAAAAAAATTCGATGGTTTAAGTAGAATTTTTCTTCGAAGATTTTTAGTTCGAAATTTCATATTTCATCTGACGTTTTTACTTAATTTTAAACCGACTTTAAATTTTACTTAAACGATCAAAAATTTTTATATAAAAAGTTAATAAATATCGAAACAAATATTTTAAGTAAAAATACTTTTTTTTAAATGGTTTTCAATTTTTTTGTAAAAAGTTTTGTTCTCTCTCTCAATAAGTAACAGTTTTAAACCGTGATTTTAATTACCGAAAACTATAATATTTAGAAAATACAGTAAAAAAACAATGGAATAAATTAAACTACTTTTTAAGCTGGAAAGAATTAAATAAAAACCAACTAAACGTTTAATCTTTTTTAGAAAAATTCAGTTTCAAGTTTAGACTAATAAACACCGCGTTTAAATGTTTCTAAAACCGCGAATGAAACTTTATTAAACGATCGTTATAAAAGTTAAAGTTTTTTAAACAAAAAATAATTTGGGTACGCAAGTTTTGATTTTCAAAAGTTACGCGAACATTTTCAATGCCAAAGAGATTAATGTTGGTTATGTTACGTTAAGGCCATTTGTTAACAAAACTGCAGCTAGCAGTAAAACCAAAACTTTTTTGAACAAATTTAGTTATGTTGAATAACAACAATATAAATAAGTGAATACTTTTTTATAATTTAAATATAAAAAACTATTTTAATTCAAAAATCTTTAAAATTCTGTTTTTAATGTAAGAAAAATTTACGTTTTACAATCTTTTTTAAATTTTGAAACTTATAAAAAAACATTAAAACAAACTATGTGGCTTAATGTATGGATATATTAAATTGCCGTTAACCAACCATGTCATGATTGTCGTTTATAATGGCACAGTGGCGGAACTTCAAAATTTGCCCCCCCCCCCCCCCCGCAAAAGAATGTTTTTTTTTGCGGAAAGAGTTTTATAGTATAAATATTATTGAGAGTATAACTTTATTTATATGAGGGCCCCCTATAGCTGGTAGGCCCTCCTTCCCCCGCAACGCAGGGTCCTGCGTCCAGTAGTTCCGCCACTGTAATGGCAGTTTAAATCGTGACATTAAACGCAAAAATAAGTTTTAAAGAACAAAGTAAACAAAAATAACTCTTGTAAACAAAATCAACTGTTGTTCATTTTTTAAAGGTTGTCGGTAAAATGCGAACCGCAAACTGCGGACCGGTAAAATGCGAACCAAAACCTTATATTTTAAAGACCATTATTGTTAACATAAAAATAATAATAAAAAAAACTCTCTAACTCTTAATTATTTATTTTAAAGCTTTATTTAAAATAAAATTTTTAGTTTTTAACTGTAAATCATGCGCGAAGTGTTGCCACATCGACTATCTTATAGCCTGATTCGCAATGGAGTGCTGCTACATCGACTGAGGGTTTGGTTTAGGCAGAGAGTCTATTAAATAATTAAAAAAAAATTGTATTGTATTTTGCTATTTTCTCTCAATTTCTTTTTATTTATTTTTAAATAATTTTTTCTCTTAAAAGTCCTTAAAATATATTAAAATATTCCGCTATAAAACATTACATTATTAACAACGATCGTTCGCAAAAAGTTTGCATTTTACAAGTTCGCGGTTCGCAGTTCGCAATTTATTTAGGGGGCCATCCATAAAGGACGTCATCCAAATAGAGAGGGGGGAGCGGGTCGAGTTAAAAAAGACAAAAAAAGGACAAGGGGAGGGGGAGATTGTCAGAAAAGGACGTCACTTTATAGATATTTTATTTTAGTTTAATTAACATGGAAAACTACGTAAACATGTGATTTATGAAGATAATGTATGAGAATATTTTTAATTTTATTTTTCAAAGGTGTAGCAGTAGATTCAAACATCATTGCGAGATAAAATAAATTTTGTTGGAGTTAAAAATAGGGGGGGGGGGGGTTCAGGATTTTATGACGTCTTTTTCAAGGGGGGTATAGGGAAAAAGGTCAACCTGTGACAAAGGGGGGGGGGGGATGGTGGTCAAAAATTGGCTAAAATTGGTGACGTCCTTTATGGATGGCCCCTTGTACCATTTTTAACCCATTCGTGACGCGTGACCCGTAAGGCGGTTTATAAAGTTTCTAAACGACGAGTGACCCGCATGACGGTGCAAAAACAATTTTAAATATTTTTAAACATCTCTAGCAATTAGGAAAAACTTTAAAACTATCTTTGAATTGTGAATAACTTCTTTAGTTAATGCTTCAAACTGTTTCTTAATTGCATTTATAGATCGCTCAAAAATCAATTTTAAAAAATGACGAAGAACAGGGAAGGGGAAAGAGATACGAAAACTGACATCATATATAAGGAAAGGAGGAGAAATTGGCCAGAAAAATAACAGAGTTTGACAAGGGGAGGGGTGAAAAATTGTTAGAAATCTCATACATCATTTATGGAATGTATGCCTTAGTAAAAAAAACAATTTTTAATACTTTTTAGTTTCGATATAATATAAAGCATTAAATTATTTAGTTTCCAAATTGCACGAAACTTCCAAATTAAATTTTACTATAAAAAAAACAATAGAACACGATAAAAGAAATTTTTTTTTATAGTCAAATTTTAAAAGTTTCTTTTTTTTCGTTTAAAACTTGAATAAATTTTAGGACTTCAACGTAAAGTTATTCTCCTATTAAAAGTCATTCCATATTTTATGTTATCGATAAGATATACAAAATTCTGAGAGTTTAGTTCATTTCGGGGGCAACGTTGTTTTTGCTATTTGATTTTAGATTACACTTTTCATTTATAATTATTTCAAACTTGTTGTTGAAGTTTGCTGGCAAAAGTATTATCTATACAAAGTTAGATTCCGATTAATTTTATTTCAAATATACCCATCATTTTCGTATTTTTCACAAGTGGTTTTGCATGTTCTCGTTTTTGTTTAAAGTATATGATACGTCAAGCGTGTTTTTGTAGCCTATACATTTTTAGACATTTTTTTGATTGCGCACTACCCCATTTTATATTTGCATAGTCAATAAACCCAAAATATTCACTATGCAAACATTTTATGTTTGCATAGTCAATATTTTGGGTTGGTTCAAACAGTGAACCAACCCAAAATAATATATTTTGAGACTTAAAATATCGACATATGGTCGAACTCAATACATTACGCCAATAGTTTTGGTACTTTTTGACAGTTATTGACTGCAGATAATTTATATAGGGAAGCCAGAATAAATTATCGACTGCGCAAATTCCTTAAAATTTTATACTTAGTTGGTTTTTAATTATTATATCTTTTAAATGAAGTTCGCGCAATTTAAGAGGAATGTTTAATTATTGTTGTTTTGCATGGAACAGAGTATAACCAATTAATAAAAAGTAATGATATGAATGATGTTGAATTTCTAATAAGTCTTTAGATTTTGAGTTTTCAATTTTTTTTTATATTTTATTATTATCGAGTATGTAGGAGAAAGCGAGGCAACATAGCGAATAGGGCAAGATGAGTTTTCATATAACAATTCAACAAAAAATCAAAAATTTGGGTGAAAACTAAACTGAATTTGCATCTTGTATTTTAAAACACTAATTGGTTTTTTTAAATACTATTAATGCAAGTTTATACACATTGTTTTACTATTTGCGCCTAAATAAATTCCTCACTTTTGGTTTCACATAATGGATGGTGTCCTTCAAATTTACCTAGTTTAGAAGTAGTTTTATGCGACGTGTGTTTATTTTGTGTTACTTTAGTTAGAGTTAATGGTAGTTTTTAAAATGTTATAAAATTGGAGGCAAAAATTGCATAATAAGTCATCTTGCCTTGGTCAAGTGACCAGATGACAAATTCATGAAGTTTTTATTTTAATATTTATTTTAGATTGTTATATTTGCAAACTGAAAGTTCAAGTAGGTAATGAATCATTTTAATAACATAAACATATCAAGAAAGTATTATTGCTTCACAACTGATAGTTTTGAAATAACTCAGGGCTTTCAAAACGTTCGCCATGTTGCCCTGATTTCCCCTATTTACTTTTTTACAAAAAAAAAAATTACTAAAATATCAAGTTCATTCACAGTTTTACTATTTTAGAATAGTTTTGCAAAGTTACATTATTTAATCATTCTTACTTATTTTTTTACAGCGTAAACCCAGTTTTTTTTTGGTATTTTGAGCAATTTTTATTTGATACCATAGCAATAAGCAACCATTTTACATATCTTTTTTTGATCGCCAGTAATAATAAAAGTTAGTCAATTTGTGTCGTTTTAAAACATGAGGGTAGTTGT